TATATTACCTTATCGTCTAGTGATTCTGTTCTTGTTAGGTTTCGAAGACTTTTTGGTTTCATTGTCTAGTCTATGTTTGTTTCGGTTGTACTATGCATACATATAGAGTACTAAATAAGATCAATTCAACTGACGAACCTGATTCTCTGTTTTCGTTGTTACTAGGGACCAAAATATAACCTAAAATTGTTGAATGGTGCATTCCTATGACTAAAAAGTATCTAGGTACGTCTTTCTTTTATTATCTCTCGTTTAACCATTTGTGAATAATGGTACGAAAACATAACCTAAAATTGATCAATCATACTCTACTAACGAATCAAAAGTATCCAGATAATGTACTTAGTACACCTTTATTAAATGACAAAGAATCTGAAATGCTCCTTGACTGAAACATCTCTTACATAAGATGCAGCTTCATTCAAAAGTGGCCTCGAGTTAAGGCTTCCCTGAAGGACTCAATAACTCGGGAGCACAATCGAGTTCTACTCGGACGTAACTCGAAGTTTCCTGTTGCCGAATTTGATCGATACAGTATTTCCTTTGTCAGAGTTACTTCAAAAGATCATATAATTGATTAAACAAATTTAAAGTACATCAAAGCTTAATTTGTATGAGCCTCCATTCAATTTGGTGAATTTCCCATTGAGAATAAGCCACTATCGTAAGTCCTCAATTCCGAATTACCATGTTCTTATGGAGAATAAGTCAACTGCTTTAGAACGCTTGCTTATGGATATATTTGTATCAAATTTGACGATTCTTTAACGCTTTAATTTTATTTCTTTATTTTTTTAAGAGGTTGGCGGCCTCTTTTAACCTTGCATTTTCCCGTCCACATAGGCCATGGACCTGTGCGTGGAACGTATTCAGCAAAGCAAGGGGTGAGCTGGTACAGTACAAGGGTGACGCTACCGACTGACTCTATGGACCAATCCCATACTCATCAATTTCATAATAACCTATTGGCATTTTAATAAGAACACACTTTATTACCTTCATGTAGCTGCAAACCCAACTACTTATACCTACTTTTATTTGATAAGGGAATAATCGGTATTTTGGAAATATTTTTAGTGTAAATCAAATAAGGCAAATGGAAAGTCACTTATTTTGCAGGTTTGCTGCGGCAACTTTATTAAACTTTGAATGTTTCACTGATGCTGCAGTGATTGTAGAGCATGTATTGTTTATAATATACAATATTGTACCAACTACTATTGGGTCTAAAAACGATCAAGTTCTGAATACTTTTAGAGATTATAAAGTTTTATCTATGCTACTCTTAGTGCTCCCCGTAATAATGAGATAAATACAAGTAGAAGTTTTTGGTAGGCTTTCTTGGTGGCTTATGTCAAATGTGCTTGAATTATGATCCGGTAGGCCCGCGATAGGATCACGGCACTACAACAAATATTGTACTACTACCACTAAGTGAATCGTTCAGAACGCAACACACTCCAAAGCGAAAGTGTTTAAAACGCTTTACCTACGGCCGTTTTTTAAAGTAGTCGTTTCAGTACAGTTCTTAGAATTGAAAAGTATCTCATAACAGCATTGTTTACTTTCATAAGAGCATAGTTTTACTCATAACAACACGGGTAACGGACCAATGAGGTTCAAGGATTGAGAGAGGAGAAGCAAAATTGTAATGATTCGAAATTCAACTAATCAGCTGTTCAGGCCAATTTAATTGTTGATTGGTGCAATTAGTATTTGATACAATGTTTCGTTGCATCACTGTCAGTGGCAATTAGAGGTTATAAACAAAAACATAACCTCTCTTAGAAGTTATGAGTAGTGATTTTTAGTAATTAAAACACCGTCGTAGGGAAAGTAGTGTACGCAACTCGCGTAAATAGTGTTAACGACACTCGTAGAAGTTTTTAAGGCACTCGCCAAGGCTCGTACCTTAAATTTTCTACTCGTGTCGTTAACACTATCTTTACGCAATCGTTGCGTAAACTACTATAAGTTAAGTCATTGTTAGCTTCTTTAGTAAAACACCCAAAATGAAAGCCAATTGGTATTGGGAAACGCTAACTATTTGATCTGGATTTGAACCTAAAATATTGGTTGATTAAAGAATCACATTAGGAATAACACACCAAATATGATTTTTGAAAGAAGTCATGCATACGGAACACACCATTCGAAGGCAATGATGCATTGGGTATTCATAATTTATTTCATTTTAAAATAGAATGGTTGCATTTTAACTGGAAGGCTTGACTACAATGATTGACAATGTGAAATCACAAATTTACTTCCCAATACTAATAATACTACTTGATTACTTATAATGAAATATAAATATATCTTAATTAATATTTTAAACCGTTCACTTATTAAAAATTGGTGTAAATACCTGCTTCTTGTAATCCAAATTGTTGATGTTATGACGCAACTTATTACATTCTTTAAGTATTTACTTATTATATTACCAAGTATTATCTAAATATTACCTTTTAAAAGAGGTTTAAATTCGCAACACTTCCAGTAATTATATTAGTCGAAGGGCAGGGTGAGTCAATTAATTAAAAAATGGAATTAACTTCCATGATTAACATGGGTCTTAACTTGGGAGCTGTTTCATAAGTTTTAGAGTTTCTTGAAAAATTGCTTTTAAAAATACAAATATTCATACTCGTTTTGACAAACAAAAATGCTAATGTTTAGTTTTAGGTGTTTTCTAATAAATAAGGACAAATCTAATACTTATAAATGAACGATTGGTATCCGAGTTTGCACATAGAGTTGAATTTCAAGCCAAGAGCCATTGCAAAAGAAAAACAGTCGACGGGTAGTAAAAAATTCTAACACTATATTTTTTCAAAAATATAGATACTTTTGTGTAAGTGATAACAAGATAACGGAAGAAGACCCTCTAAAGATGCCAAATATGCAGGTAAAATGCTTAGGATGATATACAATCATCTTATCCAAGAAAATAGGCATGGACCTTTGTTAATCTAATGCACTACAAAGTTGACAAAGTCTATTGAAAAATAGTGTGATTCTTTATATTTTAGTTTATATTTATACCTTACCTGTACAGTATTTTTTTAGTACGGTAAAAAAAAAAAATTGTTGAGATTCTAAACATTAATTCTGATGATAAAGGACAATCTAATTTGTATTTTATGTGCGTGTATCATATATCCATATAAACACATAACAAACTATGTCTTGATGATTGCATGAAAATCATTGCAAATATTATACTCACATACAATAATCACATCATTAGCACTTATGAAAAACTGCAATTAAAAGTTTTAACGAACACCTTCCGTCAGTTATTGGAGGGTAGTGCATATTAAGGGTAGGTGGTAGGGGGAGGGGATGCCTAATATACATCGTAATCGTCATTCATGCAATTAAGTTTTAACAACACAAATGTGTTAAATAAAAATTGTTACGATGGGACCTACTAACATTTCAAGGATGTATTTTTTTGTTTACGTCCATATCGAATTAATATATAGATTATTCGATATATCGATGATTTCATTCGATTAGTTAGGTTTGGTTAAGCCAACCAACCACTTGATATATCGACCAAACTTGAAATGTCGAATTAAATAATCGATATATCGATTGATATAATAATTCGAATTAGTGTAGGAAGTAAACTAAAGTGCCGGACGTTAGAACGCCCAGACACAAAAAGCGCAACCGTATTCAACAGCTTATCATAAACTAGTAGGCAAAATCGCAGCTCGAAGCCTGTAATGCGCTTACGTGTTGAAAACACCGGATAAAAACACCTTACCACGTTTTCCGGTAGGTTTTAAACACAATAATATTTGTGTTATGTGTTACTGGTTATATTTTTATCTATTTATAGAATAAGGCAAGACAAGGTTCTCATGATATTTTCGTATTTATAAATGTGCATTTATTTCGAAATGTTGTTCAAAAAAATTTTATTTGAGTTTGAGATGATCTTGAGTTTTAAAACAAGTTCGTGTATTTATTTTATCCGCTAGTAAAATTATAATACTGCAAATAAAAAATTATAAAAAAAAATGAATTCATTTAAAAAATATATATATATTTTTTGCTATTTCATACATCATTTTTGGAGTGAGTAACTTAGGTTAGAGCGTGGTCCGTGAGGTCCCGGGTTCAAAACGTGCCAAATCGCCGATGGATTTAAGTGGATGGATCTAAGTGATAATGCCGCGACTTTTAGGGCTATCCTGAAGTAATGTGAAAACAATCCCGGTCTCATGCCAAGCGTCTTGGGACAATAAAACATAATTTTTGGCCTTGCATATAATAGAACTTAGTATCCTAGCGTCAACGTCTTGGTTGCGTATTTGAATTGTGCCTCTAAAAGATAATACTTTTATCAACTACTGATTTCTGACATACAACTTTTTCACCAAGTGAAACTTAATCTATTGTAAGATATATCATATTTTATACCATATCAGCAATAATTCACACCTCAGTATAAAAAAAAAAAAAAAAAAAAAAAAAAAAAACTAAAACCCGAATATTCATTGTAGCGGTGTGAACCACTGCGTGAAGTTCAAATTTTTGAATCTAAGTAAAAGATTACTTACAGCTGATTCCCTTCCGACAAATTTTCATCCAGGTATGTAAAAGTCAATGATAGCTCTAAATTAGGTAACCATAACAAGTATGCAAGTTTATAAAGTAAATAATGGAATATACTGTTTCTAAAGTCGATTAGCACGCTATTCAATGACACCAATAACTCTCTATTTTTATGCATTTATTTATATTAAGTTACGGGCCAACATAGCAACCATATGGTCTACGAGGCCTAAATATACTGAAGCATCTATAACAAAAGTAAGAAAATTCTTCGCAGTAATTGCTCAATTATCTACAAAGTATATGGAAGACCCTTTCACCTAAAATACACTAGTTAATGGTATTATGAATGATTAAAAACTGAAACATTTCAGTGACGGAGTATTTCACTTTGACCAATGCTCAAGCTGATGGATTGAAACTGTTCGCAGGTTCGTGAGTTCTGCCACGCGATGAACAAAGAGCATCTGCCCTTCATAGCGCTCTAAGGTAAAACTTCTCAATCAATAACTCACTTTCATTCAAGCTGTTCTCTATACATGGTGTGTAATGTAATATTTTTTCCGATGTCTTCGCCAGTGGCATTTTTTTAGAAGATGTTGGAGAGCGTACGCAAACGCTTTTTGGCTAAGCCATCCAAACTCATGTTTTGTGGATGTGCCGGGATCGAACCCGCCCCTCCTGCACTTAGAGTGACATAACCTAACCTAAACAATAGGATAGCAAGACACCGTTCAATATATTGCAGTGGCACCTTTCGGCTCAAGTCCTTGATTACATTGATAAACTTATAGAGTACGAATCACAATTATACAGGGTGTCCATAAAAAACGTTTCAGGACTTTGGGAAATTTCATAATCATCGGATAAAAAACTCCACAGATAAAAATATTTTTGTATAAAAAACAAAATGGCGGATATCTGGGTTAATATGCATTTTCGGACATACCTTCCCATAAACCTTTTTCTTCCTTTTAGTATGGGGATTCATTTCCCAAAGTCCTGAAACGTTTTTTATGGACACCCTGTATAACTTACCTCTAAACTATTTTGTTTAAACAGAGCGTGAATATAATAGGAAAGTACTTGGGGCTAGTGAGAAATCTTTGATTTAATTTGTGATAGGTATTGAAAGTAATTTAAATATTCCTGTATACTTAGATCAAGTCAAAGTTGGGGTCTCACAGAGATCAATGTTTGGATTAATTGCAAATTCTAACCAATCGTACGTTGAAATGAAAGTTTACAGTTTTCCTTATCTCCTGGTTCTAGAAGATAGGTGGTGTTTTTTTATTAATTGATTACCATTGATCGATTTGTTGATTTCCAAAATTGACAAGAGACCCTGTGGTCCAACATTGCACAAGGCTTTAACCACCAAGGCATTGATGGACACTTCCACTCTCCAACTATTATACTACTTTAAAAACACCGATTGACTTTTAAAGTTTTAAATAACTAATTCCTTTAGAAACGACCGACTAGCCGTATCTATTTTCGATTCAGGCCACCGGATGAATTTCACACTCTTTGTTAAGGGATACGAAACCAAACCATTTATTTTTCATTGACACTATTTTTGTCTGGAACTGGGCTGCTTATTGATTCAATTGTTACATATTTCATTTCTGTTTATTCTAGAATAAGTTCTAAAGATAGTAAAACTGTATATTGGTCAACTCAACTGTGGTCCAACATTGTATTAAATGTTAAGAAATGGAATCTACGAAAAATACTTGTAATGAATTTACAATTTTTTATTTTGCTTACCAATGACGACAGCAATTGTCGAAAATGTCACTTGGACTCAAAATACTATTGGTATTTTAGTTTCAGTGGTAGGCTACTCATATCATATACTTGGTATACCAAGTATACCATTTATCATAATTTAATACAGTATATACCATCTTAGTTTTAAACCAACAGCGAAACACTTTGTAATTGAAGGTCGTATTGCAAAATAGGTATTTAAATTGTAACCAGTAATAAGAGAAATTTATAAGAATAATTAATCTTTGTGACTCAGGTGTTTTTAAGAAAGTTTGGCAAAACTTTGTTGAATAAGTCACAACCTCAGTGCTTATTAATTTTAAGACTCAAAGACCTTTCCTTTACGGAAAACTTAAGCCTACAGTTCATCAAAATAATAATTGTTATCATGACCTTTCTCTGTAAACACCTAATTTATTCAAATTACAGATATTAAATGAGATAGAATCAAAACTTCATTCAAGATCCTCAAATTTCATACTGATGATCTTGATCTAAGCATATCCTTTGCAGGAAAGGGGTTTTAAATTTATAATAAGAGGTTCAATTATTTACGTACTCACTTATCCTCACCAAAAGAGTATTGGTATCTATAGACGAAGCATACATTTCCTAAGCTATTTAGAAAGACCGGTTCGATTATATAAAATGTTGTAAGTTTTTGATGATTTGAAACTTAATCATAGTCCTTAGTCATTATGCATTTTAAAAATGGCCCTCGCTAGTGATCTAGCTGATATTAGTTGTAACAAAGCTATCAGCTAATTTATTCAACACCCTGAAGTTCAAGCGTCGTATAAATAATCTGTACTAGGGATGAAAGGTGCATGATTAATTTAAATGTTACCTACGACCGTTAACTTACGACCGTTTTTTAAATTAGCCTTTTCAGTTCAGTTCTTAGAATTGAAGAGCTTTACTTACAGCATTGTTTACTTACTCAACAGCATTGTTGTTTTACTTAACAACACGAGTAACGGACCCATGAGGTTCAAGGATTGAGAGAAAAGAAGTAAAATTGCAATGCTTGCAACTTCTAATCAGCTGTTTACCAATTTAATTGTTAATGGTGCAATTAGTGGTTGGTACAATGAGTCGTACATCACTGTCAGTGGCAATGAGAGGTTATAAACGAAAACATAACCTCTCTTAGAAGTTATGGGTAGTGATTTTTAGTAATTAAAAACTGTCGTAGGTAAAGTAGTGTACGCAACTCGCGTAAATAGTTAACGAAACTATGTTTACGTGATCGTCGCGTAACCTACTATAACGTACGTATATTGGTGAGAGTATTTCACAAACATCCTTTATAGAACGTGATTCTACACGAAGAGCTTAAAAAACCGATTTAAGAAAATGTTTTTAAAGAATTACATATTTTACTAACACTCTAAATCACCATGTCAATTTGACAATACTATCTCTTCTGGTTCCTAAGAAAGCACACGCACGAAACAGTAAAACCTTATCATCCCCATTCAGAGCGAAAATGAAATAATTTACTCTTATATGTCTTGTTGAGCTATTGGGGCAATGATCAATTGAACCGTGTGGCTCAATTGGAAGTTAAATCGCAGCATAAAATACACAGTGGGATCAGTTATGCAGTGTCAAGGGGACACTTGATCGAGAAGCTTAATGCTTCATTTAACTCTACCACGGCAAAAATGCGAGGTTTTACTGAAATTTTTTACCAACATATAGTTTTTATAAATACCTATGGAACAAAATATTGTCCTCTTCAAAAGCACACTTAAATAAAACAATCTGAATTTTTCAACAACCATAGCTTTTCATGAATTCTTTACTCAAATATTGTTTATAGAGTGCAGAAAAAAATTATTTTTACATAGAAATGTGTCATGTAATGTTACCAAATGGTAATTGCAGTAAACAATTTCTCAGTTTCCTTTTCAGTGGGTAAAAAAAATCCGCCTGGTTCTGAATTTCTTGGATATTTTATTACTCTTCATCATGATCTTTTATGCAAAAACTGGGAGGACAAATAAACGCAGAAACCTCTTTTGGCAGCCATGAGTAAAGTGTTAACCCTGCTCATCACTCCTATAGTCATCAAGTTCATGTCTGACATTGGAAACTGAAAGCCAACATACCTAGAGAATGTTAAAACTTAGCAATGAGAGAAGGTTATTAAGGAATGTACGTCATATAAAAATTACTGGTGGGTTAGATAAAACTGCCTTAACCTTTTATACCGTGGATAGTTATTACCCTGTAATATAGTGTCCGTGTAGAATTTTAAGAGGTTTTATAGCAGTAGCAGTACTATATTGTGTTGTTTAAAGCATCATTTATGTAAATTATTAATACGTAGATCAATAACAAATTTACATATTTAACATCTTTATAGTTTTATTTTTAGGACAAATTTTAGTTAATTACCCCGTTAAACATCAAAATACAATGGCTACATAAAACGACAGGAAAATGTGTTCTCTTTATATTTTTGGGATACGTAAAAGCTATTTTTCAGGGAATACCCGTTGGGCCGTTCACGAATTAAAGTAACCAGCATGTCTTAAGGCATAACTAAACGATTAAACTTTAGCACGCTATATATGTGGTGTTCTATAGACTAGAAAACAGACTGACAAGATTGGGGTTGACTACTAAGGACTTTTTTATTTTCTAAAAGTAAAACGCGTAATAAGAAACCAATGAAAATAAATTGAAATTTGTTTGATTTCTTCGGAATTATGGTAGAAATGATGAGAGGAAATCATTCTTTAAATAAGATTAGTTATACAAAAGTGACTGTTTCTAACAAAGAACATAAATATGGCATGACACAGTTTTTACGTTAATCATATTTGGTACTAATTATTTTACACCAATTTAGACTATAGTAGCTTACAACGATTTAGAAATTAATTTTGTACATTTTTACTAACACTTACTAAGGCCATACGAAAAAAAAACTTTAATTAAAAGTTTGTAAAATGTGTCCTGCGATTAAGTGTTATTGGAAAATACTAAACCGTCTTAGAACATTTTAAGCAGTTTCTGTGATTAATTTGTGCATTATTCATTCTTCACGGTATTTGTGAAATTCTTGCATAATTGCACAAGGCTTAAACCACCAAGGCATTGATGGACACTTCCACTGTGCAACTATTACACTACTTTAAAAACACAGTTTGACTTTCAAAGTTTTAAATAACTAATTTCTTTAGAAACGATCGACTTGACGTATCTATTTTCGATTCAGGCCACCGGATGAATTTCACACTCTTTGTCAAGGGATACAAAACCAAACCATTTATTTTTCATTGACACTATTTTTGTCTGGAACTGGCTGCTTATTGATTCAATTGTTACATATTTCATTTCTGTTTATTTTAGGATAAGTTCTAAAGATAGTAAAACTGTATATTGGTCAACTCAACTTGTCACTAAAACTTCACCGAACAAATTTACCATGCACATTTTTAATAGCTTTATTCAAATTGTATCAAAACAGGTTCAAAATTTATTTTAACACGGTCCATGGTTCAATGAGTGGTTGGGGTTGCTTTTATGCCAACTATTGTTTAACAAGTCCAAAAGTATACAGTTGTTTCTTATCTTAGTTGCACTTGGAGACCGTTGTGATAGCCACTTTTCTTCAGGGAATAGAACGAACCCTGTCAATTAGAAAATTCCAAATACAAGATATAAATCCAAGATAAAGGGTGAAATATTATTTTCTATTTAAT